GAGTCCGAGATTTATTGTTTCATTTTTTATGGGAATTTTTCCCCACCCAAAATGATGTCGATTGAGGTACTGGTCAGTGTGGTCAGTCAGTATGGTTAGTGATCTTTCAAGTCAGATGGAAAGCTCTGCCAAACCCTGAAAACCACGTTCTGTGCCTGCTGTTTCATCATTTTCCAAACAGAGGCGACACATATTGTCTTCCGACAGTCCAAGTATCTGCATATGATGATTCAAATGACAGTGACCTGTAAGAAGGCCTGTTAGACATCGTAGTTCTTCCCTACTGTAGTCCAACAACTGTTTGGTATCATGCTTTGAACGCTTTGGAGTGAGCCAATCCTGGAAGATTCTGCCAGAAGTCCATAACTCTTCTTGCCATCCAGGTGTTGAATGTTTGTTTGGCAAAGCCAAATGGTGCTTGCAGCACCATCCTTTGTAAGGGACTCAGCAGCCACATTGCCATCCAGGCCAGTATGGCCAGGAATTCAGACCAGAGACAATCTATTGAGCCTTCCTATCGAAGACAGTCGTTTTTGTCAATTTGCTACCAATTTAAACAATGCTCGGTAGGAGCCAAGAGCTTCCGAAGCCTTCCGTAGTTAGTTGCGTCTCGTAGACTTTCGATTTTAACCATCCCTGTAGAATAAGTCCCATTACTTTACTTCAATTTTTATGAAACAGCAATAAATTTTGTTTTATCATCCTTTGAAAAATAGAGGGTTTAATGAAACAATCTCTAGGTAGACTCAAGATTTCCATATGAAGGAAAACGTAACAACCCTTTATGAACCCACAAGTACATTATAGCTTTTTTGTTGTGGGTAATGGTAAGAGCATCCAGGAATTATCTGAAGTACTTATTGATTAGCGAGTACCACTGATAAGATTCGTGGCATATGGGAACAACGGTGCCAAGTTCTTGCTTAGAAAAAGTCCCTTTCCAATCCCTACATTGCTATATACCATACAATACAAAAAATTTCATGAAAACAACCATACTAAAACAAGAAACATTACAGTTGGTGGAATCCTATCCCCAGACGTGAAGGAGAACCCCTTCTGGTGGAACGCCAATCACGTCTTCGTCCCATACTGCACCAGCGATTCCTGGAGTGGGTCCAAACCACCATCTCCCAAAGAACTCTTCAGCTTCATGGGCTCCTTCATCGTCCGCCAGGTAGTCCGGGACTTGATCCCATTGGGCTTGGAAAACAGCACGGATCTCCTGCTGACGGGAAGCAGCGCGGGCGGAACAGGGGTGATGCTCAACTTGGACTACGTTAAGGAGCTCCTGCACGAGGATTTGATGCTGACGCAGATCAACGTGAGGGGGGTTGCTGACTCGGGTTGGTTTTTGGATAGGACGCCGTACGCGCCCACTATGAAGCTCGCTGTTGATGGTATAAGGAAGGGGATGGATTTTTGGAGGGGAAAGGTCCCCAGGAGGTGTAGGGAGGAGTACATGAGTGAGCCTTGGAGGTGCTATTTTGGATATAGATTGTATCCAACACTGAAGGGTGAGTTTCATTTTGTAATACGAGAAAAGTTGACATATCTGTTGTACAATTTAGATGTAGTCTGTTTAATTCATTATTGGGAGATGACTTAAAACTTGGAACTGTAATATCTCAGTGAATACTAATTTAATCCAATCAAAATAAGCGTCATTTGAATCAATGTTCTTTTGCCAACGTAACACAAGTTGATTAATTTCGTCAGCATAGAAATTAGGGGTTCGATGGAGTCAACAGAGGCCGCTTTTGCATGGTCTTGATTAGCGAAGGTTCTACCGGTGAGAAATTCGTCAAAGTGCTTGAAAAGATGAAAGTTGGTTGGCGACAGGTCTGGAGATTTGTCTGTGATTCCCAAGATGAAATTTAATATGTTTTCACATCGAACGCTTATAATATCTAAAATCTGATTTAAAAAAAAAGATAAAAACCAAAAGAAAGTCACTTTTCTTCGTTCTGATAGTCACTCCTTTTGTTTGGACATTGAATTTTTATACACCCTTGAAATTTTGTTAATTTCTTGTAAGTGTATTTCCCGTGTTGAGCTGAACGATAAAAACTCTTTTTTTCCAACTTCCAGCTGAATTATTCGTATTCCAATGGTTGTTCGACGAAGCCCAGATGGACGTCGATAACGTCGGCGCCCCGGTGACGAAACAGCAGTGGGATTTCATCCACAAAATGGGGAACGCATTGCGCCACAGTTTCGAGAACGTTTCGGCCGTCTTCGCTCCATCCTGCATTTCTCACGCAGTATTGACGAAGAAGGAATGGCAGAGCGTGAAAATCAACGACGTCTCCATAGCGGAGGCTTTGCATTGTTGGGAACAAAAGACGACGAACAGAAGGAGATTGAAGAGGATGAAGCGACTGAAAAACGGAAAAATGATTGCCGATCAGCCGAAGAGGTTGAGGAGGAGGAAGAACCAAAGCGACAAAGTCGAAGTTGAGAAAGTTTTCAATGAAACAGATGGCGGTGAAAACGTTAAGAAAAATGTCGTCAGAGTTAAAAGGAAGCGGAAGAATAGGAAGAANTAAGTTAGTTGTAAAAACGTTTCTGTGATAATTTCCTGACTATTTTATAATGGTTTTTTAATTTTATTTCATAAACGTTCCTATGACAAATTTATAAAACCCTTTTATTGCCTACAACTGTATTGTGTTCACCGATCATCTAATACAATCAATTAGCATTTTGGAAGTAATTATAAAATACTAATAAAATAAAACTATTGCAACACCGTGGAATTATAAAACAACTTTGCTGGTTGGGATCATTGACCCAATTGTCCCAATTGATTGGGACAATTTATGTCTATTGTCCCAATGAACATAATGAGTAATTCCAACTACTTCAACATCTTAACATGTTAGTTGGAATTACTCATAATAACATTTTCATAGCACTGTTGATTAATTTCCTGTCTTCATTTTCAGATCATCCTCTTTCGCATGCGGAACTCCGAGATACTGAAGCACTTGCATCCAAGCATCACGAATCTGGCGAAAAACGAACGTCAAGGTCTGTCAGGCAGAATCAAAAAAGGCCGAAACGGCGACATTGTAGTCACAGGCACTTGGAAAGGTGCTCTTGGCCTCAATGTAACCACTCCTGTCCCAAACTGCACAACCCCCTAACGGGGGAAGAGATGGACTTCAAGGAGCTGCTCCAGTCTTTTGGATTGGACATGAACAATGTCGCAGAGGCGTTGGGTATAGACATACAGACGTTGAACAACATGGACCAATCGGAGTTGCTGAATCTGCTGACGCAACAATCAAGTCACTGATTGGTTGATCTTATCAAGGGTGGGTTGTTGATGAAATGTTCATAGAGTAGTGCATACTTAGAAGGATTGTGTCTTCTACTTCGAGCGATATAATTCAGGACTACTGAATTCAAAACAGGTCCATATTCTGAACAGTTGACAAAATTCTTTTGATAGACGTTTATTCTCTAGTGGATATTAATTCCTTGGGCATTCGGTTCACAAGATGTATAATATGGGTTCTGTTAGAATATCCTGAGTGGTTGAATGCCAAAAGTTATGTTGAGAATGATATTCATACAAAAAAACTATAGTCATATCAAAAAACACTTAAAGTTCGAATCCAAATTCTGGATACGAATGAATTCCGAGTGAAACTACATGTTGAAAATAACATGATGGAATTTTCAACAGAGTTTTGATACTATTTTTCATTTAGCTCCTGAATTTCTCAGTATATACCAACAGAACCCTTTCTATTTTTGAAAATGCTTTTCACAAGTAGTTCTAATATATGACCTTCGGTACTGTGACCCACAATGCTTTTTGGTACCATATCTACATATTTTGATGGATCTATATTTGAAACTTTTATCGAGGCAATTTCACAAGAAAATGAACTACTTATGAGTCAACACACTGTATAATTCGTCTCCCAGTGATTGTGTATATAATCGATTTGAAGAAAACTGTTCTACGTGTAAATATCAAGTTGTAAATATTAGAAAAACATAAATAGAAATATTCGTACTAAACAATACATATGGCTAGGTCAATAAGACAAATAAGATCATATTTTATTATTTATTTATCTTCGTAAGAAAAAATATTTTTGTGTGAATTCCAATTATTATTCGTTCGTATTTCGAATAGCTTGTAAATTAGGATAAAAACAACAGAAACCAAAATTTCCAAACAGTCGTTTCACGACGAACTCATGCAACTATTGAAAAACAGAAAGGTATGTCTATATTTGATAGTTTGGCGTCAAATTTTTCGATTTCAAAAATCAAAATCTCTGATGATTTCCAATTTTTTCAAA